TGGCACGGATGGTGTCCTAAAGATCCATCAACGCTTATTAACCAGGTTGGCACGGATGGTGTCCTTAGCCTCTGTCTACTGGAGGCGGAGATGGGTGGCAGGGGAGGGATCAACTGATGATTACTGTTCATTCCCTTTGGGGCAACTGGCATTGGTCACTGTTAGATGACAGTGGCTAGATGGACCTTACGTCTGATCCAGTATGGCTGGTATTATGTGGAAGAGGAAATCGCCAGAAAGTCAATCCAGGTAGTTGCCAAGGGACAATAGACAGAATTGTGGAGCAAAGAATATTGGGACAATGATCTGCAGGGGATGAAAGGATTAGGATGGACACCTTCCCACTCAGCTACAAAAGCAGGAATATGGGACAACCTTCTCTGTCCATCAAGCAGTTCTTGCCTCTTAAATCCTTACTTCTTTCATGAGATCTCCAACGCTGTGCTCACCCACAATATCTTCATAACCTCTTGCTTTGAAATGCCATCCTGTCTACCATATCTGCCTACTAATATTTACCGTGTTATAGTTTGTAATTTTAAAAACAACCAGTAGTCCTGTGGCACCTTAAAGACTAACAATACACATATAGAATATGAGCTTTCATGGATAAAACCCCACTTCATGATTAGGGGGTTTGGTATGGGTGGATTCCCACTGAAGTGGGTTTTGCCCATGAAAGCTTATGGTTCTATATATTGTTAGTCTCTAAGGTGCCACAGGACTACTCATATTTACTAGTGCCAAAGTGCTTCTTAAAGCCTTGGTGTTCAGGCCTGGGCTTCTCCATTCTGGCTCTTCTTTCCTGAAGTATCAGTGGTGGCACCTGCATCATTTCCCATAAAGATACAGGAGATGATAAAGCCACATGCCTACATTTTAATAGGCCAGATTCCAGGGTATTATTTTTCCCCCCATGAATCTTGTCTCTTAGGGTATGTCTACACTACCCTCCTAGTTCAAACGAGGAGGGTAATGTAGGCATACCGCACTTGCAAATGAAGCCCGGGATTTGAATTTCCCGGGCTTCATTTGCATAAGCGGGGAACCGCCATTTTTAAAACCCCGCTGGTTTGAACCCCGTGCAGCGCAGCTACACGGGGCTCGAACTAGGTAGTTCGGATTAGGCTTCCTATTCCGTGGAACGAGGTGTACCGGTAGTTCGGAATAGGAAGCCTAGTCCAAACTACCTAGTTCGAGCCCCGTGTAGCCACGCTGCACGGGGTTCAAACCAGCGGGGTTTTAAAAATGGCGTGGCGGCTCCCCGCTTATGCAAATGAAGCCCGGGAAATTCAAATCCCGGGCTTCATTTGCAAGTGCGGTATGCCTACATTACCCCGCTAGTTCGAACTAGGGGGGTAGTGTAGACATACCCTTAGTCTCTGATACTAGCCTGCAGCACAGATCGGAATCGGAGTGAATGATACAGAAATAGCTAACTATGGCCTCAACCAGACCATATAACTGCACATGATACACATGCATATTCTCCAATACAGAAATGAAGAGCTGCTCATCTAAGAAAGAGGTTTTAGTATTCCTGTGTTCTGATCCAAAACCTTTGTGCAGCGCCTCATTGGTGTCCCTGGAACTGACCAGGTCTGGCATGTGCAGAGCTAGCAGGGAAGGTACAGAGCTCGAAGACTCTGAAATTAAAGGTAATGTCTCTCTAGTTTAAGTACATATTTGCCAGGAAGCCATGATTCTACAGGTATCTTTAACCAACAAATACCATAAGCCTTCCCTTCACCAGAAAGTCTTAATCATGTGGATATGATTTGCCTGCTGGAGGAAAACATCTCTCTGGCCCTTTCACTTGCACGCATAACTCTTTAACCTTCCTTAACAAGCTTTCAAGATTCATGTTGTTAATCTCCCCAGTGAAAGGGTGAATAGAGACCACCCAGGATTACTCTCCAGTCCCATTCACAAAGCACCTCTTGTTACCAGGAGCTTTCCTGTGCTTTCCACCAGCTCAGAGCTTAATCTAACCCTTTAGAGGCTGAAAAACAAGCAAGGTCATTGCCCTCCAGTTATGAAAACTACCTTGGAGATCCCCACACACAACCCATGAGCTAGCTGTTGTAATGTGTTTCCTGTTTCACTCTGGAACAGATGGGACTCTTCAGTGAGGTCCTTCCTCCATCTCCCCTTTTCTGTTGCTGTCCATGGATAATTATTTAAAGGGATTTCTCTTGACCTTTTCTATTTAAAGAAAAGAGGAGAGAATGTGGCTTCAGAATGCTCCAGGGCCCCTGTAACTATTTCCAGGGCTGCTAAAACTGACCTCGTCCAAGGAAGCCACAAGACAAGGAGAGCGTGTGCACCAGCCTTGTTCTTGGAAAAGCTTGTGCTGGTGCGGAACACTCCATAAAGCCAAACCCAACAGCAACATCCACTCCAGAACAATCTCAGAACCGTCTTTTCCCTCAGCACAGTTCCGTAGTCATGAGCAAAGGTGAAGGTGAAAATAAGGGGCATCTGTTTTTACCCTAGCTGGTTTAGAGGACTTGATGGTAAAATTCCCACACCTTGTCCGCACACAGCTTTGATCCCAGCTGCACCAGTGGAGAATTCAGGTCCATCTTTCACCAAGGAAAATGCAGCCAAACAGCACATGTCACAAAAGAGATTTGTCTTTCATTGCAAACCTGGTAAGGTAGAAAGCCAGGTATGATAAGTCAATGTACATCTCCGCCACAGAGCTACTGACAGCTGGTCAGTTCCTCTACACCAGTGGACTTTAAAACTTGCGCCAATGCATTCCCTCACTCCTGATACCCATCAACACAGAGTATTATGCACCTTCAGCCTCAGCTGCTGACTCCTTGCACACACAGATCCCAGTGACTCCAGAAGGAATTTTGGGAGTGCACGGAACGCAGAATTGGGGCTTGAGTGATGGCTCTCAATATTTTCTGGCAGCAGTATTAGTTTACCGGGGGAGCCCTTTAGCCCTTAAGGAGGTGAGACCTTCCCATGAGGTGCTGGGCATTGCCAACTCCAATTTAAATCAAAGGGAGTGGGAGTGCTCTGCATCTGACAGGATCAAGCCTACCTCCTCAGGAGTCTTGGCTATCATGCTCTCCCCACTTTACAGCTCTACTGGCTGCTTGCGTAACCACCACTGGGCGAATTTGAAGCTTAGTATAGGACTTCTACAGCTTGAGCTATAAAGCCAGCTGCGTAGAGGTGTCTTGTTCTTAGCTGTTGAAGTGGTTTAAGTGCCACTACATGGGACAATGAACCGTACACGGGGTGTGTTGGTTACACTTGTGCTCATGCATAGTCCAAGCCCCATGGCAGTGCACACAGCAGCATGGGAGGAGGGTGGCGTGGACAGTGTCAATGCACTGGGGCCCCTCATTAAGTTAGAGAAGCGGAGCCTAGGCCATCAGTCACTGAAGAAACAGTCCTTAGTATCTGTTCAACACTTGGGCAAGGCAAAGCTCCTATAAACAAACTCAGTCTCATTTAAAGCTTTAACTAAGAGAACAGGCAGGTATCTCCCTTCATCTAGGAAGCAAAGCATTATTTGTACCAGAGATAGTTACGATGTGCACTGGTGCAAATAGAAGCAAACACTGATTGTAAACTCACATGAATAACAGCTGCTTCCTGGCACAGCTTTGGCAATGGCAACAGAAGCAGCAAGAGGGGCTGATGCCTCTTTAGATGCCTCAGTAAATCCCTCCAAAGCTGAGAAAGCCCCAAATCTGTGACTCTCTCCCTACACCTTCACAGATAGCCCTATTTTGGCCTCATTACTAGAGCTCTGGGTTCCAGTAAGACAGGATTTTAAACTGGCCATGTCCAAGGTTTCCAGTAACACTGGTTTAGCTGGCTGTAATCACTACCTCTTCACACAGCCCAAACAGGAAAATCCCAAAATGAACATGTCTCCTCTGTCCTTTTAACCCTTTCTTATATAGAAGGTTGCCAGCTCCAAACCCTTCTTCACTTATCACATTTCACAATCCCCTCTCCTCTGGCACTGTCTTCCTTTCATCAGGGCTCCATGAATAGTACAAAACATTAACACTGAATATTTGGCCCTTCTCTAGTGCCATCCATCCAACAGCCTGAAAACATATTACGAGTTCATCCTTGTGAAATCCATTATTCAAATAGGGAACTTGAAGCAAAAAGAAAAGTGACTTGTCCTAGGCCACACAGGGAATCAGGGGCACAGCTACAAACATAATTTAGTGGTCCTTACTTCAGGTTCACAGCTTTTGACCCGTCACCACCCCACGCAGTCTGCCACAAAGTCACTGCAATGTCATAGCAAGGAAGTTTTTAATGCTGCACACTGTAAGCTGAGGGAAGCACGTTTACCCCAGGTTATCTTCAACACAAAGAGAACCAGAGGAGTACAGTGAGAAGAGAAGAAAGAGGAGCACACATATGCTGACCAACACAGAGTTAACCATTAAAATAGTTCTGTGTGTCTGTAGACACAGCAGTACAAATCAGAGAAAAT